CCAATTGATTTTTTTATATTTTTGAAGTAGAACCAATGTCGACCTCGATGTTGACCCGAAAAAGTTAAAGGGTCGAGGGTTGAAAGGTCGAACTGGGGTCGAACTGGTTGTAATAAATAAATAAATAAATAATATATCATAACAATTGACAAAATTAAGTTAATTTTTCAAATTAATTAATGTAGAGACAAAAACACCTATTAACAATTACATTTGGGTACATTTAATTTTTATTTTGTCATAAAGTGAAATGTTTAATACTTCTATAGTATTTTATTGTGCCAATATATTTATAAAAAATTTAAAAAAAAAATCCCATATATTTGATTGAAAATGAAAAAAAAAAATTGAAAAGATAAATAATTTACACCAACATGATTCCCCTCCCCTTTAAGTAGAGCTACTGCTTTTTTTAATTTATTTAACTTTTATAGTTGGAAAACTATGTAATATTTACAACTCAGCAATCCTTTTATGAATCCCACATCGGAATCTCATATCAAATCCCTTGAAGATCACTTCTATATATGTGCAGGCTAATGAATTTAAGTACTTGATATAGGCCTTCAGAGCCTGTTTGGGAGTGATTTTGAGAATTGATTTTTTGACCGTTAGGAGAACAATGGGATCCACCTGTGAGAGAAGAGGTCAAATATGATGGCTGAAATAGTAAAATAACGATCAAAAAATCAATTTTTTTGGTGAAAAAATCGAGCCCAAACAGCTCCTTAATTATTGAGGACTGAAACCATAAAACAATAACATTTAGTTTAGTTATTCAATTGGAGTCATTAAGTTTTCGGTTTAGATTTACTGTTTTTTTTTTTTTTTTTTTTTTTGGTTTTTTAATTTGATTTATTAAGTTTTTGGTTTTTATTTTTTTTTTTTTTTTTTTTTTTTTTTTTTTACGGTTTTCAATTTAATGGTTTTTTAGCATTAATTGAACTGGATGTTGGATCGGTTCACGATTTTTAAGGTTGAACTGACTGGTTTGGTCCAGTTTTGATAACATTGGGTAGAACATAAATGAAAAATAACCAAAAGTCATTAATTTTTCAATAAAGTATACCTTCAATATTATCTTTAATTCTTGGTTCATGGAAATCAATTTGCGCCCATTGGTA